CCCCTTAGTCCTTCTTTTCCCAACTTGGTCAATTAGAAAAGAAAGGCTTTCGAATCCATTGTTCGCAAAAGTACGCTTTACTTAAAAAAAAAACAAAAAACTCTGGTTACAGAGATTCAAAGCCAGATCTGAGATTGCCCGGCTCGAAGCACATGGTTCCCTTTTCTCCTTCATTCTCCTAATTTCTTGATTATTCTCTGGTGCTTTGGAAAATAAATCGATCCCCACTTCTTGGTGGCAGCCTCACAAATACTCCAATACTGGGTTACCTTTATGTTATCTGAGACACTGAACCAAATAGAAAGGAGTTAGAACATTTGTTGTCTTTTTTTTTTAATAGTCCACAATGAATCTTAATGGAAATAGTGAGGTGGGTGAATAAGTGAGAACCAGTATTTAAGCTGCAACCCCACATGGCTTGTTATAAAATTAAAGCAATTCTCTCTGGAGTCTGATGATTTGCTCGATATTAATGGTAAACACTGTTCAAACTATTACCAAAAGTGAAAAAAAATGAGGCAAAAGTAATTTGCTTTTGGTAGCTCTTCTGCTCATCAGGCGCTTGCAAAGTTGCATTTTAATTTTTTTTTAAAAAAACAAGTTTCATTGCAATTTTTTTCATCATACATACGTACTTTGTGAACAGAATGTTGACCAGGTCACATCTTATACATCATATTTATAATCATAGTTTCAATATATTCTAATCTTCCCACTTTTATCAATATTCATCTCTTTTATAATCCTTTTTATCTTTTTCCATTAATTCATTTAAGCTTATATATCATTACTAAACACCCTTTTCTTTTTGTCTTCAATTAATTACTATTAATTCTTCTTTACAAGTTAATCATTTTTAACCATAGCTTTACTATTTTTGAAGGGTGCCTTAAGTTGCAAAAAAAGAAAAGAAAATGCAGTTTATAAGTTGTGGGGAAAAAAATACTAAACCTACATTGATTGCCGTGGCCTGTGGTCAAATCATCTTTATTGCAAATTTTGATCCCTTTTTTCCTCCTGTCTCTGCCTTTGAAAAGGAACATTAACCTTTAATGTTTCTTTCTTTCAACTTTAGACAGACTTGAGAGCCATTGGCAAGAAGTTCCTCCCAAGCGACATCAATGGCGGAAAAGTAGAAAAGGTAAATGATGATGATGTTGATGATGATGATAATAATAATAATCAGATGGTCAAGGTCTTATGGGATTTTCGCATACAAACGAACAAAATACTGGCACATAATACACCAGACATCACACTGGTTGAGGTTACAATCATAGTGTCAGAACCTCTCCATTAGATAATTAGGAAAGAAGACCATGAGATTCCATGAGTAGAAATCAAGTGTACTTTTACTAATTATAAATGATTAAAGGCATAGCGAAGCGAAGTCTGATTATTTAGGCGCGAAAGCGATTGATATATAGAATAACCCATACTCCTCCCCTTGGCATCACAGTTACAGTCCAATCATAATTCTCCCAAGTGTCAGGTGTGAGATAACTTCAAAAGGCATCACGAAGATGGATGGAATGTCGGTGCCGTTAGTCCTGGCGGGAATCTCCTACGCATGCGTAGTCCGACAGGC